ATTATTTTTTTTTTATTTATTAAATTTCAGTTCATCCTGTCTAATTTAGGACTAGAGTATGCCTGGGAAATACCTTGTAAGTTGTATCCTACTTCTCTATTCATATTTATACTTTTTTGATAAATTTTTGTTAATTTACTAATATTTCATGTACCATTCCCACTAAGCTCTAGGCTCGTACTTGGATATAGTTAACGATAATAGTCGAATAGTGGAATTCGATTTCTCGACCATCTAATCAGAAATTCGTACCCTTAACCATTAGCCTATTGGCGCTTCAGATTTATAGCGCTAAAAATAAAACTGTTTAATTTTATTCACGTAAATAATATTCATCTAAGCATCCTACATAAACCTGCGAAACAATACCATTAAAAACTATCTTTTTAAGGCATTTTTGAAACGAGGCCAAATATAAAAGAAACTCCTTTCTTTAATAAATCGGTGTTTTCGTAAATGTTCATTATTACTTACTTTTATCGCCGAGTCTCTGCGACCAGATGGTGCGCTACCAGCAGAGAAATAACGTGTGTCTCATGTTATTTGTTCAGGGCACATTGTACTTATGTATACTCTTAATTAACTTCTAAAAGCAGTTATCTGGCTTATTAGATATAAGATGTTTTTAATTTCTCTATTGTGTTCTAAATTTTTTAACATATGAAGTATTCATTAAATAATACTCTTGAAAACTTTTTAGTATATCTGTGGTAGAACAGCTGTTATTTTCTTTTCCAGTTTTTTTAATTCAATATTATTGTACTGCTAATATTGTTTATTTTGTTTTGTACCAAAAAAAAAAACTATTGTTTATTGAACACTTCACTAATTCATACTTAATTTTGTCAGTGACAATTTGTTCAGTTTTGTTTTACAATTTCAAAAAGTCAACCATTATCAGTAATCGGTTTAACCAAAATCCTCGATAAAAGCCTCTTCTTATTGAACCGTTTGAATCTTCAATTTCTATGAATTTATTTTTATAATAATCTGATTGTTTACATTTCTATCAACGCTATACCGAGCTCTTTGTAATAAATCCAGTGGCCAGATGTTTACTTCTATATTGTATTTTAGGATTCGATATCTTTTACTTCGAAATATCAAACAATCTAAATAAAACAATCGAAAGATTCTTTCATCAATGCGTTTTGAACGGGATTAGATTCTATTTTCTTAAATCTATTTTGAGATTTCTATTGCGATTATAAAAGTTCCGAAGAAGCAAAGAAACATAAACAAAGATCAAGTATTTGACACGAAGATTTATGCATAAAATACTAATAGAATAATCTAGAACTTTTCACATATATGTTTGGATGGTGGAGGCAAATCTAATATTCTTAAGCAACAGGATGAGATGTAGAGTTTTAGGGTACGTGAATTATGGTGTATTTGTACAGTCTGAGATTGTTGTAAATGTCTTGAAAATTTATGTTCTCCCAGTAGTTGTATTGCACGTATGCTACAAACATACAAATGGCAGTATGTATGTATTGAAACGTATACATTATTATTTTTAGCTTTACTACACGCTACTTCGTCCGCGCGGAATTAAAAAATACTCAATTAGTAGCCTATGTGTTCTTAAAGACGCCAAATTTCAGTGAGATCCATGCAGCCATTCTGGAGATACCTTCTAACAAACATTCACCCAAACATCTATCCATCCCGACTCTATCATATATTTTATTGCTAAGATTTTTAGATAATATAACTGATTGAATATCACTAAAATTTATAGAACTTAAATGAGGGAAAAAAGGGTAATAGAGTAAGACAACGATTTTTGGAAGACCTTAATTTGATAAAAAAAAACCTTTTTATCATAAGGTGGCAAACGAGCGAGCGACCACCTGAAATCGCTGAAATAGCGAAGTGACCGTTGCCCATAGACATACGCAATTGCATATGCGTTGCCTACCTTTAATTCGACGGAGGAAATGATGCACAGAAAGAAAACATTTCCATGCATCCTCTCATCCGGAAAGTCCACTTCCACTTCCCATCCTTTCCTTATAACAAGAAGGGTTGGAAGGGAAAGGGGACTAAATTAGGCCTCCGGGACGCACACTCATCAGACGAAACGCGGATTTGCTTCCACTTCACGCCTGTCTTCTGTGTGGTCATGGTATTTCACCGGGCGAGCCGGGCCAATTCATGCAAAGATGTAAAAGCGGGCTCTACCACTGTCAAACCTGTGTTCTAGTTAAACTGATGTTCTATACCTTTGAAACCAAAATCTGGTGCTGTCTGAAGCTAATTAGAGACAATGTGAAAACGATTTCATAGACACTAACGATTTAGCAAATTGCTATTCAAAATTGCTGGCCTCGTTCCAAATACACGCTGCAAACGGAACTGTCATTATGTTATCAAAATCCAATACAAAGCAAATGTGTCCCCAATTATGCGGATACAACATTTGTTCATATAAAGCTGGTAATATTCACGATATTGTGATATTATCCTTGTCATATATTTGTATAATATATGTATATGAATAACTGCATCTTAAATCTAAAGCTAAGCGATAAACTCGGGTAATATGTCGTTGGTTATTTTGACTCTCATTTATCCAGTTTCGAATTTTCTGCTGGCAATATTTACTGAATCTTAGATTACCATAAAACAGTGTCTCTTATAGTAAGAATAAGAATATAAGTATGATAATAAACTCAACATTTCGACTGACTTTAGCGAAGTCTAACAAAATTATAATATTGGAAATCACGAGATAAAATGTGACTCAACCGAGTTGACTGGAAATTCAACAAAGCGGTCTGTGGAGCTCGTTTCCGAGGCCGGGACCGACGACGTTCTAACTCTAGCTTTAAATCCATTGTATTTGCTTATGCAAATTCAGAGTCTGCGGCCTTCCGCACGTACAACACGTAATAATTCTCCTTGTAAATTTGACACAGATTCCCTTCTGACGCAGTGTGCATATCGTGATTTAAACTCGCTCATAAATTTGTAATCACGCTCGGCCCTCTATTGTTATTCCACAGACGCGTGGACTTTGTAAGTAATTACAACTTCGTTGGACTATGTTATCTTTGGTAGATATTCAATGAATAAATATAAGCTGTTAATCTTAATTACTAAATTAACTTTTTCGATTAAATTACACCAAGAAATCTACTGTTACTTAGCTTGAGTGAATTGAAGATGTTCAAAGTTCTCAGGTATTGCTAGAAGGATAAGGTAGAGAGGAAATTGCAGGAGTTCCAAACTTTGGGCCAAGATGGCACAGGACTGTCAAAACTGGAAACTCTTATTATCAAAGGCCAAGATTCTCTTAAGGTTGATGCAACTCTCGAGTTAGGTTATGGTTAGACTTTTTAAATAACTTTTATATAGCTTTTATTACAAACAAAATTCAATGTAGAGTTAACATTGACAACAGAGTGTTGTGTGGGTGGGCCTTTATAGCGTGACTGCCAGCTGATATCGATCTGGCATTACCTTATAGCTAGAAAATGATAGAGCCTTAAGTACTTGTGTTGGCGATTTCAGCATTTATTTGCGCGATATTAATCCACTTTATAATCTACGAATTAATCTTGATGGAAAGTTGAAAAAGTTAACTTTTCAAACGTTTAGATGAGAAATATAATAATCGCTTTTATAGGTTAATCCTAAAACTGTATCCTGTTATCCTAAAACTTATTACCGTACACAGTTATTTAATGGTTGCCAAGGTCACTTAGTATAGATTTAGTTTGAATATACAATACGTTTAACAACAGGTTTATATTTGCTTTGTTGTTGCAACTTGTAGTGGGAAGATGTCATATACTCACGTGCTGTTTATGAAGAGATGTGATTCAGATTTAGTAATACAGTTGGCTAAGACCTAGTCAACCATAACTTAGGGTGGGCTCCGAGACCCTCAGTGGGGACGTGTAGTGAGCTGATGATGCATACAGACTAATGTTCTGTGTAGCTACGTTGCTGATACATAACTCAAAGCGAACAGTCTAGTTTACTGTTACCAAAATATTTAACCTAGCTTTAAGTTTCAATGTACCATGATTCTGGTACTAGATAATCTGGTTGGATATATCAAGTTTTTAGTACAATAACTTTTATAGCACTAGAAAGCTAGACAACAGGGAAGGCACTAAGTGTTGAACCCCTTAACATCTTCAAAAGCTCTTGTCTCTTTGTCTTATAAAAGTTTCAAATGTTTTACGGAAAGGTTTACCGGAAGACAATTTATGCAAACTATTACAAAAAAAAATCATGAGTTATTTTTCCTTCTAATTTAAAAACCTGTACGTTGCATTTCGCAACAACGAAATCAAGATATAAAATAAGGTGCAAATCAAGATAAGGGTCGAAGAGAGGTTACATTATTTATTAAAGGATAATCTCAAGTTAAAGTAAAGAAAAATTGACATTAAATAGTTATGAGTGTTTTATTGCATGATATATAGTTTTTTGTTTGAAGTAAGTGTTGACTCTTGGTCTGCATAAGTTTGTAGAAACACCAAAGCGGCTATTATACTGGAAAGTTTGGAATCCTCTGGTCTAGAGTTTCGTCTATTATTCTCACTTTTATAAATGTCTGAAAGCTGTCGTATTTCAGGGCGTATTCTTTAACCTTTTGATACAAAGCTTAATATCGCTTTCAGGGGCTTTATGTAGCTTTGCCCTGGATTTTTCCTTAAATTATGTACTCTTTTAATGGTGGCTATTTTAAATATTTCAAATTTAAGTGCTTTAAGTATTCTAAATCTTGGTTTAATTTCAGATTATTCATGTTATTAGATAATGATAAGGAAGATAATTTGCTAAAGGGTTAATTTATAATTTAACTGCATCTTCAGTTAAATGCTACGCGTAAAAGTGTTACAAATTCTATTCTATTTTGTCCGAGAATCATTGATGTTTTAACTAGTATAAGTAGATTTAATTCCTTCGATATTTTACCAAAGAATAACTTTTTCAGTTGCTTCAATATAAATGTTAAATATCATTTATATTGTTATCAGGTTGTGGTGATGTGTGAGCGATGTGGTGGCCGGCAGTTCTGAGCCGCTGGCAGGAGGAAGAGGCGGCCATGCTGCGCCGCGGACATAGCCGCGCGCCGGCAACCTAGCTGCCCGCATCCTGTATATGAACCACAGGAGATATCACAAGTACGCAGCTTACTATAAACAAAAGAACAACTAAAATTATATTTAAAGCTACACGTATAGACAATGAATAAATTGGACTGTTTTCATTTACATTTTATTCTGATATTGCTTCTCTGATATTTTTCCAATCAGTGAAGGATATGGTTCAAACTAGCAATGTAACTCAACAAGCAATCAACAGCGTCAATTTTAAGTAGATGGCATGGCAGGCATGGTTCTCTGCAACACTTATTAACGATAATGCTCGACAGCACGCCAACTGCTTTAAACTACCGCTATCGACTGCTTCAAACTGTTCATCGTCATCATTCTTACAGAGATGAATCTCCTGAACATGGACGCGGAAAACCGCGTAGTGCTGAATGTGGGCGGCATTCGCCATGAGACGTACAAGGCGACGCTGAAGAAGATCCCCGCGACGCGTCTCTCCCGGCTCACCGAGGCGCTTGCCAACTACGACCCGGTGCTCAATGAATACT